GATTAAAAAAAAAAAAAAGACCGATGGGTGATAGAGGGGTGGAGAGATATGTAGAGAGTTCCTAAGAAAGCAAATACTGCAGAACAAAATGTGAATTGTAGAATCTGGATGGTGTGGGTTGAAGTGGCTACTACACCATCTGTGAGGGTCAGCGTTCATGCCAACTAGAACCCCTGGGGTCAAGGAACAGGTGGGACAACCCTATCAATCAGGCCCCAGCCCAATGGCGCCTCCTTGTGGGTGTGGCCTTTTGTGTAAGAGGAACCCCCAGGGGAGCAGAGTTCCCTTTGGCTCAGGCTTCACCTTCTGTGGGATCTGGGTCCTGCAGCTGCTTCATCGATCTCCTGTGGTGTCTGTCGCCTGCCCATCCAGGAGCCCTTAGCAGACTGCCAACCTTGGATTCATTCAGCTCACCTTGGATTCGTTCCCCTCTGCATCTTGTGGTCCTCCTGCTTTGCCATCCTGCTTCCTGCTCATCAGTTTCCATAGTGACATGAGTCATAGGAGCTTTCAGCTCACATCTGACCTGCAGACTTGAGCCAGACTGGACTTACCTAGGTCTACACCTGTGCGAGCCACTCCTGGATATCAATGGGTACGTACACACACACACACACACACACACACCATTGGTTTTACTTCTCTAGAGAATGCAACCTAACACGCCATTCTTCTGGTTTTTCTAGGCTGTCTATTCCGGACAAGAGTTAAAGTCTCTAAATCTCAAAGGGGCATCTCTACTCTGTCCTATAAGGTTGCTCCAGGGTCTGTATGAATGGGCATCAATTTTGTGGTTGTGAGTTTGCTTTGAGTTTTGGGGTGAATTCAGACCTGAAGGGTGACTTAGCATCATGGTCTTGGAAGCCCACCAGGTAGTGAGCCCACCCTCCTTCATGATGATTTTGCCCACGTGTCTTAATGGCCATATTTTCTTTGCTTGTTAGAAGGGCAACATCAAAGGTATTTAATCTATGGAAAAACCCATCACCTGCCCTAGTCCAACCATTTTCATATT